AGTATGGATGCAAATGTTGTTGAAAGGGGGGCAAGAGTGGGGGGGGGGGATGTGTGTATACAAGGTGTCCCAGGAGTTTGGTGCCATACTTCAGGAGCGTACTGAGGGTTCCATATAGAATAACTTTGAAATAGGAAGCCATGTCCGCAAACGTAAAATAACAGCACTAGGGTGGCATTTAAAATCATTTCGTTTAAACTTGGTGCCTCAACGTCGAACTGCATTGCATAGAGGAACAGCCATCCACCAGCACTCGTGCCATTGCAAAGATTGTGGGGACATCAAAATCAAGTGTTTGGAGGGTCCTGCATGACCAACAACTTTATCTGTATCATCCAACGTGAGTACACGATGTAGGTCAAGCTGACTTCATACCACGATTTGAATTTTGTCAGTGTATACTGAACCAGTGTTTACATCAGCCCAACTTCATGAATCACGTGTTATTCACAGATGAAGTGCAGTTTACAAGGGATGGCTGGTTCAACTGTTGAAACAGCCACGTTTGGGCTGTTGAAAACCCAAACGTTACTGTAGTTGGTTGATATGCCACTGAAGGCTTATTTGTATGACAGTTTGAAGTTCTTATATAAAATGAAAATTTTCAGTTGCAAGGAGTGGAATTGAAATCCCAGATCCAGGATATTATTGCCAACACTTTGGTTAAATTATTGCCAGATGCAAACAGCAGTTGGAATTACCACAGATTCAGGACAATAGAGAAGGTTGGAAGCCCTCTCTTGGCTCATTTGCCATCATATTTCTTGGCTAATCTTACCAAGCTGGAGTCTAGTAAATTGTAAGTATATACCTGTTAAGAGATCCAAGTATGTTGCATTATAAATGTTTCCTTCAGAGTAAAGTGAAACTTCGAACTTCATTGTACGAGGGGGTACCCAAAAGAAACCGAACTTATTTTTTTTTAAACTTATTTATTCAAATTTTAAGCACAAACCTTCAATCCCCTTCAAAGTACTCTCCACTTACACTAATACACTTGTCTAGTCTTTTATTCCATTTTTCAAAACATTGTCTAAATTCATCTTTTGAGATGCTTGACAGCGCCTCTGTCGTTTTTTCCTTCACCTCAGCAACATCAGCAAAACGCTTTCCTTTCATGTCTCTTTTCATTCGAGGAAACAAAAAAAAAAGTCGCATGGGGCAAGGTCGGGTGAGTATGGAGGGTGAGGAACAGGGGTCATACCATTTTTGGTCAAGAATTGTCGTACAGACAGGGCTGTGTGAGCAGGGGCATTGTCATGATGGAAAAACCAGTCACCCGACTGCCACAAATCTGGCCGCTTCTGCCACAAACTGTTGCGCAATCTTTTCAAAACTTCCAAGTAGAAAGCCTGGTTAACTGTCTGACCCTGCGGAACAAACTCTGAATGGACGACTCCTCTCACATCGAAAAAACAAATCAGCATTGTTTTCATGTTTGATTTCACCTGACGAGCTTTCTTGGGGCGAGGCGAACTTGAAGTCTTCCACTGGCTTGATTGTTGCTTTGATTCAGGATTGTAAGCATAGCACCAGGTTTCGTCACCGGTGATAATTTTTTAAAAAAAGTTTTGATCATTTCGGGACTCTTCTTTCAAAGCACAGCATGCTTCCACGCGACCTTGTTTTTGTTCAGCAGTCAGCAGTCGTGGCACGAATTTCGCAGCCACCCTTTTCATTCCCAAATCTTCTGTCAAAATTCGCTGAACTGAGCTCCAAGTCACTCCCGACAGCTCCACAATTTCTTCAATGGTCCGTCGTCAATCTTCCTTGATGATTTCACGAATTTTTTCAACATTTTCATGTGTTCGGGCCGTGGAAGGATGACCAGAACAAGGTTTGTCATCAATTGACATTTCACCATTTTTGAAATGGGAAAACCACTCAAACACTTGAGTTTTCCCCATAGCATCATCCTTGTACGCCGTTTTTAACATTTCAAGAGTTTCTGTTCCACTTTTCCCGAGCAAAAAGCAGAATTTCACTGCCGCACGCTGTTCACGAAAATCAGCCATTGCAAAAACGACGATCACACAAAATAGTTGTCACTATAAACTCTGCCGAAACTAGTCCTTACCTTCTGAAGCAACGGTAGTTGGCTTATCGACTCAGGAATGTTAGCTCTATGCGCTCATAGCGGCAAAACGCGGTACTACAAAAGCTCTGCCCACAAAAAAATTAGTTCGGTTTCTTTTGGGTACCCCATCGTATGTTTGGAATGGCAAATTGAAGTATTTTATAGATCTTAACACATTAAGGACCGGTTGCATGATAACATGATTTTAGGACATGTTAGGTTGTAACACACTATACCTTGCTCTGGCACCACCCAAGTTGCACGCAACTGCGTAATAAAACTCTGGAATATTTGCTTACTTATCAGTAACTTGATTTCTTAACCCATTATAAAGGAAAATGCTTTGCTGCTCTTCGAGCTGTATGTATCAGCCATTAGTTAGTGGTGGGGTATGGACAAGGACAAATTCTTCTCTGAAGAGCCAGCTGACCTGCCTTGTGAGATGCATAGTCATGGTAATTCAGAGAACAGCAGTGACAGTGGAGAACAAAGAATTGTGGCCACAAACACTAAAAGTGACAGTAGCTTCAATGATAATGGGGTTGATAACATTGCAGGGACAGTAAAAAATCTAGAAAAATTACAAAAATCTAAACCCTGATTCGAAATTGAAATACAAAGAATTTCTGATGAATGTGGTGTGGGAACTGCCCACATTCAAGCAAGTGTGACAAGGCAAAACTGGTCGCACAATGTTTCGTGTGGCCAGACATGCCTGGGCTACAGACCAGATGGTGGTAGCAGAACCAGAGTCAGACACAGACTTAGTGCGACCGGGCCCTTCAACTCCCACCCCAAACAGGCCTCATGTGGACCCCCCAGGGTGACTCTCGGGTGATATGTGGAAACATACCCACTTGAAAATTGTGAAGAGTGAACATTACAAGGGGAAGCATCCTTCTAGGCAGTGCCATGTTTGCGCAGTTCACAAAAAAAAGGAATATGTCTACATTGCAAGTTCTGTGTAATGCCACTTCACAAAGGGGAATGTTTCCAGAAATATCACACTCTCAAGCACTTCTAGGAACATTGGTAAGTGTTCTCCAAAAATGTTAGTTCATAAAATTAATTAGGAGATTTTATATTAATTTTTAAAGTGAACAGTGCACAAGTTAGGATAGTAGTTTAATAATGGTGGCCCCAGGGTGATTTAAATATTTAAATTGCTGGTCCTCAATGTGTTAATTTTCAGAATCTACAGTAACAGGAATGTGCCATGTGCATGTAATATTCTATATTAATTATTTTCTGATTGTCCTCACAGTTGTGCTATTGGGACTGGAGATAGGAATGGATAGAAATTAAATCTGGAGATAAGCAAAATTTGATCATATTTTTACATTCATGAGTCATTTTTCACTTCAGAACTGACAGTATAGTGCAGTAAGTAATGAACAGATGCATTTTCTTTGTTCAAGAATGATAAACTTGTTCTTAAAGTTAAATTTGACTGAACTGCAATGAGTTTATCTTCTCATGGAGACTTGACAAGATGGAGTTGAGCAGAATATTTAGACATAAGACAGAGGAAGAAATAGGATATGGGATGATGGAGATAATTACATAATAAGAAACATCACAATTTGTAGTCTTAACTAATATTAGGAGGAATAAATCAAGGAAGGTGAATTATCTGGAACATGTAGCATGCTTGGTACAGATAAGAAATTCATTCAGCAGTTTAGTCAGAGAAAATGAAGAGAAGGGAACACATGAGAGATCAGGCATGGATGGCAGGAGAGTATTAGAACAGATCTTAAATAGGATGGGAAATTGAGAATAGATTCAACTGACTCTGGATAGGGTCCAGTGACACAAATTTATGAGCATGTTTGAGTCATGAAAGATTAATTTCTTTACCAGCTCAGGCTGTCATGGAATCTAAACAATGGAGCCAGTCTTAGCAGGTTTATTTTTTAATTAAATTAATTAAGAATAAATATACAGCCAATATATTTTCAGCTTATTTCATCTTCGTAACTGGTTGTGGTCGAATCTGCCAAGTAATGTGTGGTGTGGAAAGACGGAGGCATCTAAGAGAGCATGGACAGATCTGATGTTACGCTCTTCATATCCTTTTAACCTATCAGAATGGAATGCAAATGATGTAAGAAGGTAATATTGGTTCCTAAGAAGGGCCCTTATTACAAATAAGATTCAAATATTTCTTTTTACTTGTGATGTTCTTAATCCTTGATTTTCTTCAGCACTAATTCTTCAAAATATAATGCTCATGTCAAAATCATAATGTCAATAGGTTGCCATGGCAGCTCACGTTGTTCTTTACAGATATAGAATTTTGTAGACACGTCACTCATTCCAAATAGCACATAAATTTGTAATCATAAGTTTGGAACATTTTTTTATTTATTTTTTATTGCAACATGTATTATTGACTATAGATGGGGTTTGGATTGGTGAATAGATTTATTGACCACTAACAGGTCATAATTACAAATAACTATAACAGTATTGCTGATTTCCACACTACAGATTACTCCACACAAAGTCTTCAAAGTCTCATTTCTCTAGTTGTTGCATGGTAACAGGTCTCAACAATGACTATTCTTGTGCAAGGTTATCACTAGGCATTTCTTGGTAATGAAAATTAGCTGGTCAACACACAATTGAATTAATGAACTATTGAACTGCCTTCTGACTTCTCTTACAACTGAATGAATGATAAATCAAGAGTCAGAGTCAGTCACTTTATGACTGGTGGTTTACCGCAAATCAGTTCATCTTGGTGACAAGACCTTTGAGACTCATGACCAGTAATTTTATTTTCCAACTGAACACTTGTGGTTATAACTTTATAACTTCAGGACAAACCAAATAGAGATCACCGTCTCCAACAGTTCCTCTATTATTCTGTGTTTATTGCTGTGGAAACTTGTTAATTTTGTAGCAATGGTCTGGTTTTCACGAGTTCAAAATGTTCACAATTTGTATCCATGGAAACGTGTTCTGCAACCACTTGATTTTAAGAATCGATCTCTCCATGGCAATGCACTTGCTAAATCGTTTCTTAGAAATGGCCCACATGTCACAATATTCTTTTAATTTCAAAATGCAGAAGTGATGGACTTAAAAATAGAGGCAGCCAACCACTTTCTACATCTATGTAGTGCCATCTCCCAGAAACAAGATTTCTACTAACACTGAATCATCTTGAGCCTGAAACTTTCTGTAAGAGAAATATTATATAATTCTTGAGTAATTGACAGAAAAATTAAATTTAAGAAATTCACAACATTATGCAATAAAATCTTGATTTGAAAATGGTGTATTTAATATTATATCATATGAAAATTACCCCTAAATATTTTAAATCTTGAATATACTGGAAGATGAATATTAGATCTATAAATTAACAAGAAAATATGATTTGAATTCATGAAATATGTATATGTTTGTCCTCTGTTGCCATCTCTTTTTGATATTTAACTGAATAGAATACAGTGGAACCTCGCTTAACGAGCCCTTCTCATAATGAGTAATTCACATAATGAGCAAAACAAATTGTAAAAAAAATGACTCTCTTAACGAACGACGTTTTGCATAACGAGTGACGGGAGGGGAAGTCCTTAATTGTGCGCTTGCTACATCAGTCTATGTTTAGTACTTGTTCTGCTAGCATCTTAGTGTCACTTGTGATCACACATTTTTCCAAACTTGTGTTCAGACATTATTTGTGATTTTTTTTGTGCAAAGTTTAATAACCCTTGCAAAATGTCCCTGAAGAAAAAGCCGCAAAAAGACAGCTGTAAGAGAATAAAAATAACCATAGAAATGAAATGTAAAATCATTGAAAAGCGAGAACGAGGTGTGAGCATAGCTGATCTAGCACACACATACAATCGGTCTACATCAACGATCTGCACGATTTGGAGTTGCATTGTGTTTCACAGCAAGAAGTTGTGGAGGAGAGTTTGTCAGAGGAGGAGGAGGAGATAACAGCAAAGCAACAATCTTCTGGCGCAATAAGAGAAATGCTGAAAGCATGGGAAACTGTTCCATCGTACATTGAGAAGCATCACCCTAATAAGGCAGTGGCTATGCGTGCTACAAATTTATTTAATGATAATGCTGTGTCGCATTTTCACCAAATTTTGAAGCATTGGCAAAAACAAATGTCTCTAGACAGCTTTCTAGTAAAAAAGAATTAGATATGTATCATAAATAACAAACTAATTATTTCGATTTTTTTTTTGTTTTCTGTAAATTGAATTCGCATTCCAGGTTGGTTCATTCCACGTAGAAGAAAAGATGGAGATGATTCAAACTCCTTAACAATGTATATATAATTTTCTTTGAATAAATGTTATACATAAAATTTTTTTAGTATTTTTTTCGGCATAGAACGTATTATCGTATTTTACATTAATTTATATTGGAAAAATTGTTTCGCTTAACGAGTGTTTCACATTACGAGTAAGATTCTGGAACGAATTATGCTTGTTAAGCGAGGTTCCACTGTATTATACTACAAACTGTTGCCTTTATCAGTCAGTGAATGGTGTCCACTCTTTTTTGCTCAGTTGCCCATTATGAATTTGTATCTTGGGCTGATGTTGAATATCCTAAGCTTAATGAAAATGTTAAACTTAACTTAACCTGCATAATGTGCAATTATCACCAACAAAACTGTATGCATTAAAATTGTGTTCCAACTGGAGAATTTACAGTGCTCATTATTACTAGTATTTGGTTCTTACATACCATTATATTGCTAACTTATTTGCTTTATATTCTGAATTACTATCAGTTGAAATATATTGTTGCTTGAAGTAACTGTAATTATCTGCATGCTAAAGTGTATGTGTAAAGAATTATGAAATGATGTACTAAATATTTCCTTCAGATTCATACAAATCTGTACTGTATGGCCACATAGGTTGTAAGGAAAGTATTTTATAACTATGGTTTCATGGAGATTAAAGTGTCATACATGATGTTTGAAATCAGAAGAAGTTTGTGTCAACGAGTTTTCAAACTTCACAGGAAAAATCGTTAAGTTACCCTCCATCTTCTTATTAAGCTTCTTAGAAAGCTCTCAGTTTAAAGATAAATGAGAGGATGGAGCTTAATATTAAGGTGCATCTTGAGGAAACAGGTTGCAAGGATGGGAGGCAATGTGGAACTGTATCAGTATTGTCAGGAATTATCTGAAGCTATATATAGTGTAATCAATAATAATGCTCTTGATCTTATGTCAGATGGTAGTCAGTATACTTGTAGGAGTAAATATTTTGTTGTTGCATGATTATGTTCATAGATCATTCTAGTCTGTGTACTGTATACTTAATGGGACTTACTGACATTTATTTTAAAGCCTGACCAGATGCATGTTCTTCAGGTTTAGGTACTTCCTGGAAGGCGCCACCCCAGATGAGCTTCAGCATCTGAGCGCACAGCAGTTGGAAAACACTGTACTCCTGAAAACAAAACTAAGCAGGCTTCAGGTTAGAAATTTCAAGTAATATTTTTTATCAATGGGCAAAACAATAATATTCAAACTTGGAATAATCAGATCAGTTTTGAGATATCTCGAATACACGTTAAAACATGAAGACATGATTATTCTAACACTGCCTATGACCATGTCTTGCATGTATCTTGGAAAATTTTGCACTTGTGTGGACTATGAGGGATTCTTCTTTGCATTCATGCTCAATTTGGAAAACCCACCATAATATAGACTCTGCAAAATGTGGTATTATCATAATTTAATACTCTAATTGGGAAGAAAGAAATCTCCAACATTTACAGTCAACTTCCCATGAAGGTGCTGATTTTGAAGAAAATAAAGTACTAATTGCTATGAAGTGATATCACTTCACTATGTTGGGACAACTACCAGAAATTAAGGTTCTTGATGCTGTATGGAAAGCCAGTGAGCCATTTATGAATGTGATTGTGAGTTACATGTACCTTCCCTGAAGACAATATTCTTTCTTGCTTTCATTTAATTGTACAGGCCATCTAAGAAACAATGTTATACATATAAACATATAAATCAGAAGATTCAACTAAGTAGTTTTCTACAATTCAGAATAAAGGAGAGAGTAAAACAAATTAAGTGCCAAGACTCTTATAATTTACCACTGACTAATCTGTAAATTCATATTAACAATATAGAAATGAAAGGTATGTAATAAATAATTATAATTTTTTGTTATAATTTTGACCTCATACATAGGTCTTCAATTTCCTTGCAGGTCCAAGCAATCTTCAACATTCTCTATTCAAACAGAGAGCTATCATCTGCTAACTTAACTGAGGCACAGCTTCTTCCAGTAGCCTTACAGCTATCTCCAGCAAATTTGCTTAGGTTCAGTGTTGCCTCAACAGACTTCAGAGTACTTTCATCTCTTTTTGAACAAATGAAGTTCTGTTCATATATAACAGCTAAACAAGTAAGAGTAAATTTTGTATGGTTACTGTAGTGAATGGGGGTGGGAATTACCTTACAATTAATGCTACAAATATATCTGATATAACAATTCAGTAATTGTAGTTTTACAGTACTGAAGACAATATGAAGAGGTAAACATAATGACAAAAGATTTGTTTGAATTTCCTAGTTCATCAGTAACTATTGGACTTTTCTTTTTAAATATCAATCAATGACATGTCAGTCTGTTATACAGTATTCTGTGCCAGCTGGCAGATTCATAAAAATAATCCCTCCCAAGCTGTAATTATTGAATATGGCTGTTTCAAATTAAAATAATAAAAATATTCAGGTTGGATACTGAATGGAGCTTCTTCAGTGTTATCCAATTATCTGTAATTCATGGTAGGAAATAATAGTTTTGGAAACTTCAGTGAACATGCCATTGTTTAAGTTACTGTGAAGGGAATTATGGAAAATGTTTATAAACAAATTTATAATGTTCAGGCCAGTTATGAGATAAACCTGCTGAACAGGCGCATATTATGCTGGGATCAAAATTTTTAATAGCCTGCCTCTGATCTCAAAGGTCTTATGAATGAAAAAGCACGATTTAAAATAGCACTGAAACGATACTTAAATACACACTCATTCTACTCTGTTGATGAATACCTATTGTCTAGAAAATAATTTATATATCTTTAAATAGCCTTGTGTATACTTATGTTTTGTATTTATGACATATTCCACATTCTACAGTCATTTTGACTAGTTTTGGATTCGTGGAATGCAATGCAATGTTATGTTAACATTTTCTCTTCCTGTAAGGATGTGCCTGTAGTTTATCAGAAGTGGTTTCTCATCTACAGGTAATGGAATCACTGATTGCTCAGTCACTGCTGTCAGGCAGACTTAAGAGTGTTGAGCCAGAAACATGGGGTAATGGAATTGAACACTTGGGGAAATTCGTCTATGTTCTTCCAGTAAGTGCTCTGGAATCCTACAGGTTGTCTCCACCAACAGCTTTAGTGCAGTCTAGTATAGACTGTGACAGAATAACTGCAAGGCAGGTAAGCAGATTATCAGAAAAGTTCTGCAAATAATACCATCATAAAATTTATGGCTTACTTTCTGGAAATATAGAGAGGTAAATAATATAATTTGTTTAGGATGTTGCTTGCATTCCTGATTTACAACTGTAAATTGGGGGGTGGAGACACCAACTCTGTGCCTCTGATTATGAGCAATAATTTGTCAGTAGAATCATGTCCCTTCAAAGTGGTTGTCGAAAACAGCTCCCTCCAATATATGTTTTCACAATGTTATATTCTTTTGATACCCCTTGAAGTTGTGGTTTTATAATGACATAGTAGTCTTGATTGGTTTCCTAAGGCTCTATAAAGCATGTGACACAATCTTTACAGCTTTTATGGAATTTCCCTTTTACTTACTGATTAATTAGTCTGCTGAAAATATATATGGCTCTTCTCTACTAAGTCATTTGTCCAAAGAAAGTGTCAAAAATATTCTTGTTGTCATTCATGAAGTAAAGGAAAATGAAAAGCTCAGTGGGCTTTTTGTGCAGTTTGCAGCCAGAGTCATGAATCAGTGGATATCACTCTTCCCTTGTGCTTGGAAATGCTTGCCAAATATTAACAAGGGAATGATTGTCCTTAGTCAGACTTTGTAATTTTGTCACTTATCTCAAAGTTGTTGCAGGGATTGTGCCTTCAGTTACACTATGTCTAAATCTTATTATATTCTTAACATAGTTCTTAAATTTTGTCAGGGATGAAAGTTACATATATTTTATCTTGTCATCTTTAAGTCAAAATAATGAAATCTCTGCAAATTCGAACAGTATTTTTAGTCATGCGAAGTGGTCAATACAGTTGTGCATAAGGACACAACAGGGTTTGGTGACTGCATGATTAGGGTGTCATAATTTCAATGAAACTATTTTTTGCTAGTGCACAAAAGGTATAACCAGAGATTTGGAGCTCCTTATTTACAGTATTGAACTTATTGAGGCTTAGATTTTAAGAACCTTGGTGTGCGCTAGGCTCGTCTGCTTACTGGAGACACTGTTATCAATCTGGAGAAACCAGACTTAATAATGGGCCAAAAGGGACTACTGCGAGCTCTGTCATCTTCTCAACTGGTATCAGCTAGAACTCTGCCACAGAATTTGCTCTACCATCTTCTGGTCAGCCTTCCATCTGGCATGCCCATGCAGGCTGCAGCTCTCTTGCAAAAGGTGGAAGGGCTTGTTGGTAAGGAATTTCCTTTAAATTATAACAGATAGAATTGTTATTGCTATTCTTTTTTTGACCGGATAGGCACTGTTAATACCATTATAAGGAAAAAATTGGAACTGCTTGACAGTTATTTACATAAGCATTTCTTTTAAGACTAATATTATGTGAGAATTTACAGAAACATATGAAATTTGTTTTATTGTAATTTGAATATTGAATTTTTTACTTCCATGTCTCCATTTTCCTTTTCGTTTGGGACAGTGGGTCCTGGCACTTGAAGGTAGAATTGAACTTGCATGAAGGTGTTNCACTGTATATAGGTATGAACGAGGAGAGACTTTGAGCTGGCTGAACAGCATTGTATAGGTTAGAATGTGACTAAATTGATATAGGCTTGCACCTTTTATTTTCCCATCTGTCTAGTGACAGTTAACTCATATATTTTGTTGTACAATTGGTTTGCTTCAGATTTCACCAATCAAGTGCATATTTTGGAATTGTTCAATGCCTAAGTAAATTCTAAAGACCGTGATTGATCAGAAGTAATATATTATGCATGTGGACTCTTCATTCTGATAGCAGAACTTAAAATTACACTATCTGAAGCATTGCAACTGTAGTATTTTCATGTAAAATCTCTTTTTCTCTAGCACAACCAAACATTTTAAATACAAATGTAGATCTTGAAATGAAACAAGTGAAACTTCAAAATTTCAAATATGACTTAGTTCTAATACCATGCTACATTAAAACCATTTGTCATTTTCCAATTTGTTTGAAGGGGATCGCTGGACTCTGGGAAAAATGTTATCAAACAAAGACCCACATCAGTTTTTTGAGATGATGCCATCCCGAAAAATAGCAAGAATTGTAACAGATATAGAAAATATAAAGGGGTTTGAGAATGTCATTAAAGGACTGCCACCAGCTACTGTAAGTATTTCCGTTCTACGTAAATGAAAAGTGTTAACATGTTCATGAATTCTCTTTAGGTGTCTAGAAGTCTGGTTGATTTTTAACGAGGAGTAGGTGGCAATTACTCAGTAGATTGCTGGACAGATAACATTTATTAGAATGCATGTAGCATGTGTATATTTGTTTCTCTGTAATTGTGGCTATTTACTCACACTTTTCCTCATCAAAAACATGTCTAAAGGGCCAGCAGTAAGTTACTGACTAGTAGAAGGGAAAATAAAAAAGAATTTTGCTGAGAATGAAGAATATGAGAGTTAATTATGAAATTTTAGAAAGGTACTTCCATGAAACAAGTACATAGTCTGGTATTTGTACATCTACTATATATGATCAAGAACTATAAATCTGCTAAATTAGAAGTCTGGATCAACTCTGATTGTGAGCTTATTGTAGATTTCCTGTATCAGTACTTGTAAAATTAGTAAATACTTTCCTAAGACACCATATTTCATCCACAGCTCTCAGTATTATTGACTGCCAGAAGAACAAGACTGCAGGGTGGCAAGTGGACTTCAGATACTCTTCTGTCAGGTGGTTCAAAACTTGCTCTCCTTGGATTGACATGTAATGATATATATGCTATGGAAACTATGGATTTCATTTATATAATGGAGCAGTACAACAGAGTCAGGAATGCTCTGAAGAAGGTAAAAAATTATTACTTCACTTAATTCTGTATTTCAGCATCCTGTTGCAAATCTTTAACCAAATGTTTATGTATTCACAGTCCGTCAATAATGCAACAATTGTTTATTTACCATTTAACACTTAACACAACATGTTTTGGCCATAGATGGGCATATTCAGGTGTTTTAATGCATTCAACTGTTACACTGTTCTGAAGTGCGCTAAAATCGTGCATTGCAGTCCACTTAAAACAACATAAACAATTACTTAAAATACATTAACATTTTCCATTCAAATTTTTTCGTAAAATCCTATTCCACCTCATAAGGGGTGTTGCCCACTTGTTTAGAGTTATATGTTTATTTCAGAAAGTTTGTTTCAGCAGCTTGTTTTTCTGTTTGTTAGCCTGTTTTGCTTCTCTGTAATATGCCTCCTGCTTGTGTGCTTTTCCTTCTAGCAGCGTGTTGTGTTGTCTTCACTTAAACCTGATGAGATATTTTCCAAAAAATTTAGATGTATATGTTCAGGATTTGTAGTTGTGGAGGTGAAAATATATTGTGACGTATTGCGCTATGCAGGACACCCCCTCCCCTGCCAGCGGTGACGCAACACCTCCAGAGCATTGCCGCTGCTATGGTAACAGGCCAGTCAACACTCCGCCCCCTCCTGCAGTTGCTACAGAGCACTAACTAACTCTCATACTGCTCAGCCAGCTTTTATACCGTTCGCTGTTGCCTGTTGCCTGTGCCAACATCAGTGTCGTGTGCCATGTCACAGTAGGAAGAGCTGTCCCGTCACTGTGGGGTAAGGGGGCAGAACGCTGACCAGCCCGCAACTGCAGCAGCGACAGCGCTCGATGCCGCCACGCCAATGCTGGGGAGGGGGGGAGTGTCCTCCATAGCACAACACGTCACAATATGTATATTAAAAAAAGGGGCAAACATTTCAGAAGGAGATTTTGGTGCATATATTATATGAGTATATTCAGCAAAGTAACATCTATGAAGATACTCAAACTGAATTAACAACACATTGTGTTCCACAGTTTGATTTGTTACTTTCAAGATAAGGCAGTAATATTCAGAATGAAGTTCTGCACAGAGCTTAAAATTTCATTGAGTTCAAGATATTAATGGAAAAGCATATTTTTAAATAAAGGAGGGGCTTTAAAAGAATGCATATTTTGATACTAGGAACCTGTTGTAAGAAATGAGATTTCCCATCTTGATTGTGATTGCATAACTCGTGCATCCTTAACTTCCATTCACGACATTAGCAGTGTTAATTTATACTCCTGTAGAAGATTCTTTCATGATTGCAAATATTCTTGGCAACGTGCCTGTATATATTTAAGTTTTTACTGCATATTTCACTGTTTTTTGAGGAATATGGAGACTGCAAAAACGAGAACATCAGGAATGGTAATGGGGAAGAAACAACAAATTGAACAATTGAAAAATTGTTTGTGGTATTAGCACATGTTGACTAAATGTTGACTAAGCACATGTTGGTTATTTAGATACAGACTGATATGTAAATTCTTTCTTTATTTGAAATTAATGGATAAACTGAAGTTGCTTATCATGTACATAATTTATACGCTGCTTAAAGTAACTGATAATAAAATATTCATATAAATATATTAATGAATTCTGTGTAAGGTTGAAAGCTAATGACCTTCATGTATGATAATTTCAAGTCTTCATAGTCATGCACAAGTAAGACAAAGAGTGCATACACAAATCCAAAAACTTTTCTCATTCAACTGGTATATCATTTGGTATTAATTTTGTTCCACAACAACAAAATTTATATTCTGAGAACTAATGTATAAAGATAACCACAGGAAGTAACCAGATGTGCATTACATTTCATGTTGTGTGCACACATGCTCCATTTCAAAGTCTCTTCCAAAGGAGTTGCCTTAACATTTTCATGTCATTCTTATTTATTAACTTGTGTGTCCTGTGAACCATAGCTTGTGGCAAGAATTAATATATAAAATAGCATATTGCAATTCTGTTAATAAATTATTCCAAACTATTTCTTTGGAAAGGATATATACATCAATATATTATTAATGGTAAATTAATGTTTTAATTTTTCAGCCTTTCCCCAAGGATCTACAGTACTGTTCTCAGATGGCTTTAATGAGTTATCTAGAGAAGAAAGGAAGTTTGCAAAATTTTAAACTTTCTGAGCAATTGCTTGACTATTTAGAACCAGCTGAGACAGAAGCAATTGGTGGTAAGATCTTTAAAACTAACCATAATGATCAGTAATACAGAACAAACTGCATGAAGAATGAAGTAAACTTATTCCTGCCTAATGTGAGCATACACTGTTTCAGAGTTATTTTGGATAACAGAAACTGAAATTACATACCTTTTTTGACAGTGTCATAAACTACTTACATGGAGATAATAGGGATAATGGACTGGTTAAAGATGCATACTTTTCCAAAAGATTAATTATCTCACCTGTTCCTGTCTTTATATTTCTGAATTCCCCAATTTTAAGCACACAGATAGAGCAAGACCTCCATTTTGCTTGACCTAACACAAAATTGCAAGAAGGTAGAGTTAACCAGTCAAGTGGTTATGATGCCTATAGACATCATTTGGTACTGTGTATTGTAGTGGCTATAATGTCTATAGACATCATACATGTGTGTAACTAAGAAGGATAATGGACTGGTTAAAGATGCATACTTTTCCAAAAGATTAGTTATCAGAGTCTTCCCTCACCTGTTTCTGTCTTTACATTTCTGAATTCCCCAATTTTGAGGGCACGGATAGAACAAGACCTCCATTTTGCTTGACCTAACACAAAATTGCAAGAAGGTAGAGTTAACCAATCAGGTTATGATGCCTATAGACGTCATGTGGTACTGTGTATTGTAGTGCCTATAACGTCTGCAGACATATGCATGTGTCTAACTAGTCCGTTGTAGATATAAGGCCAGTTGGCAATGCAAACCTGTACGTTGTGCTTGCAAGATGTTCTAGTTACTTCAGAGTGTGACAGAAAGTTGTTGATTGCTTGATAGCGGTCCTGAGTTTGAGCTCCTTTGACTAAACATTATAGCAGTTCCTAGCAAGAAGATGCCTGTAGGTGATGCAGTGTTTTATGAACTGTTAAAAGAGAATGAATACAGTGATATTTCAGAGAGTGAGTAATGTAGTGATAGTGAAATAAATATGAACATTTTGTCAGGTGGTGAACAAAGTGTCAGCTGTGATGAAGCAGAAAATATCAGTGACAACAGTAGCATGTAACCTGATGTATAGGCAAATTTAGATGCTGAGCAACCATATTTTCCATTCACTGGCAAGCCTGGCATAAATATTGATTTAGAAGACTCTAGTAACATGCCACTGCAGGAGAGCTAAGAACATATAAAAGAACCACTTGACTGGTTAAAACTGTTTAGCCTCTTATGGATATTGCAGTTCAAATCTTAACATCCTTTATTGCAGAGGGTTTCTTAACCACCTTCCTCTTGCTTAATATTTTCATTTGTGAGGTATGTCATACTGCCTACATGGATTAAGGACATGTTTTGTATGATGTTTTATACCATTAAAGTTGAGCAACATATTGTCTCTGCTGGCATAAATATAATTTTTAAAACTGCTACAAAAGTAGTACAAAACCATTACCATAAATTTGCCACGTTTTTGAAAACGCTGTCTCATATTTGCAAGGAAATGGAACCATGAAAACATCAAAGCTGTATCCTAATTTGCATCTGGTCTATCCCTCTTCAAATATTTAACTTCCACCTCATTTATGCCCTGTAGTGTATGGGAATATGAGATCTCATGCTTCTTCAAATTTTTCCACTATGTCATAATATCTTATTAGCATATATAACATGCACATTGCTCAGGAGTTCCTTCTCTGATAACAATTATAAATCATTGTGATAGCACATGGTATTAGAATGTGGTTTTTGACAAGTTCAGGTATTACCTACATAGAAACTATTGCTTTCTGAAATGCATTCCCAATCAAAATGTGGTGCATGGAGGCAATGCTAACAGGATAATTTCCCATTGAGAAATAATGAATTATTGTAGGAAGAAATAAGTTTAAAACAGTTATTCTAAATTTTGTTTCTTTTAGTAGTTTAATTTCCATTTCACTTCATAATTGCTACAACAGTAACACACAAACAAGTTGCATCATTAAATACATCATTCTTGAAATCCTTTTGCCCAAATACCTGAAAGTTTAGAATTTGTCAATATACAATCACGCTTGACATGGTTAACCTATAATTAAAATATAACACACATCATCAAACTAGATAAACAGTCAAATTAGATACAATATGTAAATTGAAATGCAAGCCAACTCTACAAGTTCATCAAGAGAATCTCAGGAGTATTAACAGTAAATCAGAGAGTTCTACATATGAGCATGTCAGTCACTGAACACATTAAGATATTGCAAGCAACCATTTGTTATCTAGTTCCATTCTGGAAGAGATTTTGCTATGCTTACTACTGTCCCTCTTAAGAGGAACTCTTACATTGTATACAATAGAGGATGTAGTAAAAATAATTTTAGCCCATGTTTAAAGCCTTTAGATCCATCTGATTTTTTTAATTCCAAAGGCAGTCTATTATACAATTTAATAACCATATTGATAACACTCTTCTTAAAAGCTGATGTGTTACAATATGGCACATGAAAATCATTTTTCCTTCTAGTATTACATTCATATAAATCTGAATTTCATGTAGAGTATAAATTATATTTCTGAAAATAGCACAACACCACAAGGACATACAAAGAGGTGACAGTTAAAATCTTTAATTCTTTAAAAATAGGTGTGCATGATGTTCTGCTATTTACACCTTTTGTTAAAAGAAGTATCCTTTTTTATTTTCAGTAATTTGCTACTTTCACTTTCTCCACCCCAAAAAAGCAGACCTTAAGTTAATAATAATAAAAATTTGACAAAGTATATATTTCTGAGTATATATAAACTCACTACATCTTTCAGGGACTTAATAACATGCCTTATTCAGTTTTAGACATATGGACTGAATATGTGACCTCCATTTTAGATTATGTGTTGGATACCTAAAAATCTGAACTGTGATGTATAATTAATTTTTATATTTTTGAAAGTAATAACTGGCTCTGAAATGTCATACAGTTTATTTAATTGGAATACCGTTACTTTGGTCTTACCAGTATTCATAAGCACGTTGTTTTTTGAAAACCAAGATTCTAGCTGGATCATCACTCTTTCATTTTTTCTTGGGGAGTAATGTAATTCTTATCTGTTACCAGTATATTGGTATCATCTGCATAAGGAACCACTTCTACATTTGATATATGATGTGGTAAATCATTTATATATAATAAAAACAGGAGCAGGCCCAAAATAGATGCTTGAAGTATTCAGAGTTTTGTATTTTTCAGTGTAGAATTGTACCTGATCATAGAATATTTATTGTTATTAGAGGTTATTTCTATATACTGAGAACACAGTGGGAGATAAGATTTTAACCAAACATTAATTTTCCCTCTTATTCCATACTGATCTAATTTTTCAAGAAATATATCATGATCAATAATATCATACACTTTTGGGAGATAAAAAAATTATACCAACTGCAAATGGCCGCCTGTCCAGTGCTTCCTGTACATTCCCAATAAAGGACTTACACGCAGATATGGTCGACTTATTTTGCTGGAATTATTGATTTTCTGTTAAAATTTAAATTTAATAATAAAGATACCAATCTCTTATACACTATTTTTAAAAAATTTTTTGAGAATATAGACATAATTACTAATTTCATGTCCATTACCCTTTTTATAAACGGGCCAAATAATGTGAACACTTCATGAACAGAAATAAATCAGTGTTAGATAATGGTAATTTAATGCTGCTTTATTACTAACTGTCCAGTATAGTGATCTCTTTGTTATAATGCTTCCTTTATATAAGAGAAACTTCAATCTAATAAATTATGCAACTTCACAAAATATTTTAATGCAGAATACACGTATAATTTGGTGAACATTTTAAATTGAACAAAAATCCAGTTTTATCAGTAAAATTTTGTGATGAACTTAATTGTATAGTATTATCAGTAGCTGTAAAAGCGCAGAACACTATTCCATAGACTGATACCCTTTCTATGATGCCACTGTCATTTTCTTCATCAAGTAACAAGGAAGTTCTTCCTTCAAATTTCAGGACAGTACATACCTTGCAATAGGGCATACCTTTTTCTTGCAAATCATCCTGAACGTTGAATTTGAGGTTTCTGCAGCAGTTGTTATGAATTCTGTTTTCTTGAATCTAATGCTGTGTAGTCTGGCGAAAGTCAGCATACGTGGTGTGTTCAAAAAGTATCGAACCTTCTTTTTTCCCGCGTAAACCAATGAAGCGTGGGAGGCTCCCTTTGGTGGAGATGTGGAGGGGATATTTGTGCGCAATCGTGAATTTTTTCCCGCCCGCTGAAATCATCAGTCACTGGCAGTCGGCCTATGAGTGAGGATGTGTAGCGAGCACTCGTCAGATTCTAGTAAGGTGTAAAATGATGGAACAACATGAGCAGCGATGTTGCATCAAATTTTGCCAAAAGCTTGGCGATACCCAAATGGAAACCATTCGCAAAATTCAACAGGCTTTCGGGGGTGATGCCAAGAGCAACTCACGGATAAAGGAGTGGTACAACCGCTTCAAAGATGGCCGCACATCAGTGGACAGCGAACCACATTCAGGCAGACCCTCAACAAGCCGAAATGAGAATGTCATTGAGCAAGTGCGGACTTTGGTCATGGAGGACCGTCATATCACAGTCCGAGAACTTGCGAACGAGATAGGGGTAAGCATTGGATCGGTACATTCAATTTTGACTGAGGATTTGGGCATGAGGAGAGTGTCCGTGAAATTCGTACTGAAACTGCTAACGCTGGAGCAGAAGCAACGCCGTCTGGAAATCGCACAGGACATGCTGGACAATGCAAACAGTAACCTCAACTTTCTGAACACTGTGATCACAGACAATGAGTCATGGGTTTATGGGTGCGACCCAGAAACCAAGATGCAGTCGTAACAGTGGAAACATCCGACATCCCCGAGGCTAAAAAAAGCACGTCAGGTCCGCAGCAATGTCAAGGTCATGTTGGCCGTTTTCTTCGACTCCCGTGGGGTTGTGCATCATGAGTGCGCACCACAAGGCCAAACCATCACAAAGGAATACTACCAGGCGGTCCTTCATCACCTTCGTGATGCTGTGCGGCGCAAACGACCGGATCTGTGGGCAGCAAAAACTTGGCAGGTCCATCATGATAACGCACCCGCCCATTCTGCACATCTGATTCAGACTTTCGTCACCAAACACAACATCCCTGTGGTTCATCAGGCTCCCTACTCCCCCGACATGGCTCCGTTGTGACTTTTAGCTATTTCCCAAGCTGAAAATGCGCTGAAAGGAACCCGATTTGAGTCAAGAGAAGACATCATGCGGAATACGACGGCCCAGCTAATCACCATCCAAAAGACGCGTTCCAGAAGTGTTTCCAACAATGGCGGAAGCGCTGGGAGAAGTGTGTGCATTACCAAGGGGACTACATTCAAGGGGATTAGGGTTTTGTACCTCCAAATCAGTAAATGTATTTCTGCCGACCAAAGGTTCGATACTTTTTGAACACACCACGTATGTTATTGAGGAACACATCACTGCTTGCTGCCTGCTTCATGCTTGTTTCTTGCTTGAATTATTCTTTGACCCTGAAGATGAGGGCAATATATTCCTCTGAAATGTTGGTGACTTTGATTGGACTGCATTGGGTTATACGCCAGAAGACAAAACTCTTCATTTCTGATCATCTTCACATCTCATTTGATGCTGCACAGAACCTCAGCAGGTTAAACGACATGCAGTAATTACAGAAATGTAAGAATCTGTAGTCTATGTGAGAGACAATGAAGCATTATTTTGCAAAATAAAAAGGTAAAGTTGTTCCTGTGCATAACTAATTAAGCACAATGCCATGAAGCTATATGGGGAAGTAGATGTATAGATCATGTTTTCTTTATTTTGACACTAGTTGGAGGCGAGTGGTCAGCTTCACACCCCGGCCGCTTTACCCCTGAAGAAAGATCCCCTGGTACCCATTGGGTAGGAGGCAGGGTGGTCCTACAGCTGGTTCAGGGCGACATGGAGAAAGGAAAATTCTTGACCCTAAGAAGCAATGATTAATTGTAACAATGTTAAAAGTGTGTGCATTCAAGGGACATTGTATTTGTTCAAATTATGAGTGAGCTTTGCATTCTGTTTTGATTCACAGGACAGTTATTACAGTAATATATTTTCAGAAGTACAATGCTGTATTTGAAAATGGATAATTTATTAAAATGTCCTATCTGTTTAACATTAATTTGTGAGTAAGAAGGTCAAGATCTCTTAAACAAGGAACATCATGTTGCTTTTTCCTCTGTTCGTTCAGCATTTGTGCCAACAATATGTTGTTTCCAAGAGATGTGAAGAATCTTTTCTGGAATTACTACATTTAAAACTTCTTGCAATGTAAATTCTATGAGTTTTATGATTAGTATTTCCTTGCATTTTGAGACTATATGTTACAGGATTTTTTACTTTCTCACACAGATTTTATATATGAATATTGTACTAAATACAAATTTGCAAATGTTATGGAAAAAAAGTATGTAATAATTAAAATGATTAAATTGAAACATAAGTGAGGGAAATCACTTTCATTGCATATTCCTGAAGCATAATTTTACTGCAAGTGTTGTAGAATTTCTCCACATCAAATGGCTGGTTTTTAGACATTTATAATTTAATAAAATCCTACCATCTGAAATGCATATTAATATTAAAATGTAACCTATCACAATCTATTGCATTGAGATCTTTGTATTTCAGGGTCTTAGTTACTGAAACTAATACAATTTTATTGCTAACAGGTTACATTTTGGCAACTCTACCAGTTCAAGATATTGAAAAGGCTATCAACAGTCAACATATGTTGGAAACTATTGGACAGTTGTCTCTACCAGAACTCCTTGTAGCTACAAAGGAAATAAAACCTTACAAATATGCACAGCTGCTGTTGAAGAAACATGCAAGTGTTAAATTTTGCACCCAGTATATGTAATTGAAAATATAAGTTTTAAATTATTATGATACACTGTTAGTCAATCAGCTGAGCGTATGCTCATATGCGTATATTTGAGGGCCCTTCTGATAGGTATTATTCTAGTTTATAATTACATCTTCATAGCAGTGATGACTTGCATTGATAAACTTAATTCAGGGAATGGATATCTGTGATTCTTAATATTGTGGCATATTTATGCCATTCAACAAATTAAAATGTGGCATTAAGTGTCTAACGGTGACTGAATTACATGACAGAATTTTGATGCAGTTTGTTGCAAAGCAGTAAGTTCTCAAAGAATCTAGGTACCACATTAGTGAACAGAATTATTGGTATACATTTTTTCAATATTAAACGTTTCACTTGTACTACCTTTTACAGGAACATCCACATAAAAGAGTAACTGAAATAAAAGCATTTGAGATTTCCAGTTTGGGAAATCTTGTTCACTTTTTACCAGCAACTGATATTTTAAAGATAAATCCAGTTTCCATGAAGCTATTTGTTGAGTCATTTGGTGATTCAGCATCAAAAATAGTCTGTGCAAATTCCGTTACAAGATCAGCATGGTACCAGATCTTTCTGAAAGCATTTGGGTAAGAATACTAAGAATTATAGTACTTAAAGTAACAGTTTGATATTAAGATTTTGATACCCTTGTTTTGTAAAATATATGTAAAGATGGTACAGCCTGTATTTTCCTGTTTTCTGCAGAGATCCTTTCAGCTGGACCTCTTCAGTATTAGCCACTCTAGGTGACTTCCTGTTGGTGGTGCCAAATGAGGAGTTAAATTCTGTTCCTCTAGACAGTTGGAAAGATGCAGCAGATACTCTGGTAGAGCAAACATCCTACTATATGAAAGTGGAATGGCCTGGAATTGTTGATCGAATCCCACTCTATCAGGTGAGGAACAAATTTTTCATTGCATCCTAACTTCGTTTTCTTCAACTTTTATATTTATACCAATTTAGGTCCTGTGAGTTTTAATTTATTATACAAATTTATAGTGTATTACCATGACACTGCCTTGTGGGACAGGAGTTATATATTTAATCTGCTTATATTTGACATGAATGCTGTTACAGATTTGAAAATGTTTTAAAAGTAAGAATGAATTCTGATATTGGTTCTAGCAGTGTATAGTTGACTTAGGAGTTTCATGATTTTCAGGCTTGTGCTGAGATTCTTGAAGATTCAGAATCGTCGAACTATGTGGCAGCAGTTCGTAGGCTGGCACGCTGGCACCTTGCAGCAGTTCAGAGCCAACTGAACACTATTGTCAGTGCCTCTCAAATGCTTGCAACAGTTCATCAGTCAAAGAAAGAAAAACCTGTGAGGAAAATGGTCATTCCCAATCTTCCTATTGAGATGAAACACCCAGACACTATCATTAAAGTCTTGGTACCAGATGAAGTTGGAAAGTCAATTATAGTGAAGAAGCCAGGAGCAGAAATGGAACTTGGAACAGGTTATTTCACAAATTCAGATACTATAAATCTGTGCTAGGATAGCGCAGTCAGTATAGCGACAGGCTTTGGGGTGGATGACTGAGGGGTTGGAGTTTGAGTACTGGTGGGGGCAGAAATTTTCACTTCTCCATGTCATCCAGACCGGTTCTGGGACTCATCCAGCCTCATATTCAATTGGTACCGAAGTCTCTTTCCTCGGAGGTAAAGCAGCAGGAGCATGAAGCTGACCAGTCACTCCCAGCTAGTGCTGAGGTCAAGAAAATGTGGATTTATACATCCACTCCCCAATACGCCTTCATGTCATAGTGATTAATTAAGTTAGTTTAGATACTGTAAATGTTAATACATATGTCACATACTTGGGAGTGTTTTCTTTGCTAATTGAGGAATGACATGTAACTGAACACAAATAATCAGAATATATAGCTGATGATTAGGGCTCGGATTTCTATGACATGTCATATTTTTATCCTGGCATCTTTTCACATGTATAATTAAATATAAACGCATTTCTGACTCTTGTGAACATGAAAATACGGTTTTTATTGGTCATATAAGTGCATATTTGAACCATATTTTAGCTTTAGGTCATATTTGGGCCCGAAGTGATATAAAATCATATTTTTGGTCGTATTTTAGGCAAGTTTCACTTATTGCTCAGAAATATATTTGCAAGTATTGGCAACGATGTTATTTGGAACTTCATTTGTTAGAAATATTTGGCCTTTTGTAATGGGATTTGAAGCAATACTGTACAGTGTGAAGGGTAACGGTTCTTGACCTGGCGTAGAATCAACCACTTTGAAAAGAGAAATTGCCACCTCTGCCTCTGTCTGTCTGTCTG